GGGGGGGGGGAGGCGGAGTTTGGACCACACAGACCTGCTGAGTTCATCCTTTACTGTGGACCTGGAATCTTTCAGCCTCAGTTTCCATATCTGCAATATCAGGAAAATAATGTTCCCCTCTAAGCAGTGACCCTCACTTAATGAGAGGGCCCCACACCCACCGCAGTCTCATTAGCCTTTCTCTTTAGCATGCCTTCCATGCTCAGGTAAGAATAACAACAGCTGACAATAAACATTGATCCCTTGCCAGGCACTTCTATATGCTTCATGTGGATTAACCCATTTAATCCTCATGGCGACTTTACAACGTTGATGCAATTGTGCTCCCCACCTTTGTAAATGGGAACAGCTGAGGCACAGAGAAGTTCAGACACGTTCCCTAAGCCACACAGCTAGTGTGCGAATTCACACAGCTAGTAAATAGAAGAGCCTGGATCTGCATCTTTACGGTCTGGCTCCAGGGTCCAGACACTCTTGACTCTCCAGTCATTGGGTCTCTCAGCTGAAATCAACACTGGTTGTGCTATTGCTTATGGAGACTTGGCCAGTCCAACAGGGCAGGACTTGGGCTTGCGTCAGTCCCTTCTCCCGAAGGCCCAGCTCAGCGTCAGGCACACAATAAGTACTTAATAAATGCCATTTAATGAGCAAATGGCTGTTCACAACAAGCTTGTGTGCCCTCTTTACAGAGAAAACTCAAGATCAGAAATCTAAGTTTTCCCTTTAAGAATGGAGGTCAGCTTCTAATTAGTCAAGTGCTTGCCATCCCTGGACAAGTCTCAAGGCGAATACATTTTGCATTATGTGCTTTTCTCTGATTCCTGACTCCCAAGGAGAAAAAAATAAGTATTTACCTAATATAATACTATAGAAACATGTAAATTTTTTCAACCCACTATGCCTATTATGACTTTTTTTTTTGAGATATAATTGACATAACATTATATTAGTCTCGGGTGTATGACATAATTAGATATTTCTATGTATTGTGAAATGATCGCCATAGCAATTGCAGTTGACACCTGACGACGTCTATCTTTATGTTAATTTCTAGACAGTGCTGTCAAATAGAACATTATGCAATGATGGAAATGTTCTAGATTTGCAACATCCTATCGAGTAGCCACTGGCCTCATGTGGCTGGTGAGCACTTGAAGTATGACTGGTATGACTGAGGGATTGAGTTTTTATTTTTAAATCTTAATCTAAATGTTAACAGCAGCATGTGGCTACCGTATTGGACAGAGCAGTTCTAGATTGAAACTTCTGCTGCGATAAATTAAATCATAAAATAATAGTGTAAAACTTAATGATGGTTGAAAAAAATTACAGTGGTGTCGTAACTAATTCAGTGGTAAGCTTACTTAGCTTTTTTGTAAAATTTATTGAATTCCAATACTATTTTAAGATGCTGAGGGTATGATTTTAGCATTAGGAAAGAAATTTCTTTGCTCTCTGTTTTTCTCGAGTTTTTTTTCCTTGAAAGCTGAGAACTAACTATGCAGTGCTTTTCAGCTGCTCTTGTAGGATGAGATTCAGAGTATAGTGAAATGGTTTGAGGAGAGATCTGTACTTAAACTGTATTCGAATCCAGGTTCTGCAGCTGTGGGTCAGCTCCAGTAGGGACTGGCTGAAAGAGCCCTGGCCGCCTGCCTGGTAGGGGGAGCCCTAATTCATAGCTAGTGTCTCTGCCCCATTAAGTGGCTTTTGTGCAATAATAATGAGGCCAGCGTGGCTGAGGCCAAGGCAGGCGAGAGGGACAGAAGATGAGGTCCAAGGGCCTGACTGCCCAGCCCATAGCAAGGTGTGAACCCCTGGATGTAGTGGGAAGTGTAATGGGAAGTCCTGGGAAAGGTTTTCAAGCAGGGGGGAGGGGTGATCTGATAGGAGTTTTGAAAAGGCCCCTCAGGCACTGATGTGGGGAACAGACAACGGTGCTCAAGTGGAGACAGGCAGCCCAGTGAGGAGGTGCCTACAGTAATCCAGGTGAGAGATGGTGGTGGCTCCAATCAGGGTGGTGGTGGCCATGGGGGTGGGGAGAAGTGGTCAGATTCTGGACTCATTTTGAAGGTCGCTTCTAGGATTTAGGAATGGATTGCATGTGGAGGGTGGGGAAAGAGGGGAGCCAGGAATCAGCCCTGAATGTTGGGGCCTGAGCTATGGAGTGGATGGTAGAGCCATTGACGGACATGGTGCCGACCGAGACAGGCAGGTTGCAGGGAGTGAGAAGCAAGTGTGACTTTGGACCACGAGTCTTCCAGGACACGTGAGCTATCAAAGGGGTATGTTGCTGTAGAAGAAGTTAAGTAGGTGGCTCGGGAGCCTGGAGATAAAGAACTGGGAGATATTTGCTTAGAAATGATGACAGCTGTGTGACTGGATGAGCTCACCTTGGCAGAGCCTAGAGATGGGAAAGAGGAGAGGGTTGGGTCGGGCCCTGCGACATTTCGAGGTGCAGTAGAGGAGGAAAAACAAAGGAGACTGCAGAGGAGACACCTGGGAGGTAGGAGGGACACCGGGCATTTTCAGGGTGGTAGAAGCCAAGAGAAACTTGTGTTCTACAAAAGAGGCACGGTCACCATCCTGAATGCGGCTGAGAACTCAAGTAAGACTAATTGTAGCTGGAATTTGATACATGCCCACCATCGTCCTAAGCATTGGACACAGATGATCTCATTTTGGCCGCCCCACGACCCTGTTATATAGGCATTATTATACCCATTTTGCAGACAAGGAAACTGAGGCTAAAATGCGAGGGAAATTACTTGCTCAACGACTCACAGCTAGTAAGAGGACAAAATTGACTGTGTTCCCTGAACCTCCATTCCAGATGTGGCCATTAGGTGTCAACACACACTCAGGTACTCATGTACTCACCCATTCGGGATGTGTTGAGCTGCTGCCCTGGGCCAGGTGTCATTCAAAGCATCAGGGGTGCAAAAGCATAATGCAACAATATCCTTGTGGGGTTTACATCTTAGGGAGGGCAAACAGGCAGTAAGCCAATCAGCAAATAAAGATGTGACATGCTTCTGGGTGGTAAGTACCCAGACCAAAATGGGGCTAGAGAGAGCTGGGGGTGTTTGCTTAGCTGGGATGGTCAGAGAAGACCTTTATGAGGAAGTGGTCTTTGACAGAGATGATAATTATGTTAATAACGAAAACTTCGAGAGCACTTACTATTTGTTGAGTGAGTATTGTGGAATAATAATATTTGTGCCAAGCAAGATTCTCAATGCTTTAATTGATTTCATCCCTTCAATCAGAGATACTCTCATCATCATCATTTTACAAATGAGATGGAGGTCAGGGAAGTTGCTGGAAGCCACACAGCCCAGAAGTGAGGTCTCTGGGATCTCAGTCCAGACAGTCTAGCTCCAGAGGCTCTGCTGGACCTGACTCTCCATGCATGAGGGAGTGAATATTCAGTTCCTAGAAGGGGAAATTGGGAGACAGAAGGTTAAGGAGGAAACAGACACAGAGAGGTTAAGTCACAAGGTTAGAAAGTGGTGGGGCCTTGGACTCAAACGTCAGCAATCTGGCTCCATGGTCTGTGTGTTTTCTTTCTAGACCAATGGCTCTCAGACTTGAGCGTGCGTGGGAATCGCTGAAGGGCTTGTCACAATAGATTTCTGGACCCTGCCCCCCAAGTTTCTGACTTACCAGGTTTGGGTTGGGCCTAAGAATATGCATTTCTGTAAAGGTCTTAGCAGGTTATGCTGATGCTGCTGGTCCAGTGCCCACATTGTGAGAACCACTCTTCTAGAGTGACTCTCAGCGCGTGAAAGAACGAATACCTCGTTCCCAGTATGAGAAACTGAGGCTCAGAGAGGCTGTCTAGTGTGCAAAAGTCGCAGTTATTAGATGGTGGTGTCAGGATTGCAAACCCAGTCCATCAGCCTCCAGAGTTCTGCACTGCCTCCTGCCGGTCAAAAAAATAAATGCATGCCCATATGAATGAATGGATTCCCATTTCCCAGAGGGGAAAACCAAAGTCGGGGAGCTCGGGGTGGGGGGGCGACCCCGGCGTCCCCTGACCTCCTCCCTGCCCCCGCCCGCAGGTGAAGCTGGTGTTCATGAAGAACCAGGCGGTGGTGGAGACCGTGCTCTTCCTGACGTCGCGCACTCGGGCGCTGCTGCGGCGCTTCTCGCGCATGCTCCTAGTGGACCCGCTACCGGCGCTGCAGGGCGCGCTGGACCTGCTAGTGGTCTTGTTGGTGGATGGCCTGGGCCGCGCGCGCCCGGCCGCCTGCTGCGTGGAGCGCCCAGGGACACTGAGCCTGCTGCGCTTAGTGCTACAGAGTACGCCGGATGTCAAGGGCCACGTGCGCTGCCTGACAGCGGGGCCCGAGGTGACAGCGCAGCTGCCCGCCGTGCGCCAGCTGCTGCCCGGTGCGCGTGTGCAGATATGCCGCGTGCAGGGCCTCGAGACGCTCTTTAGCAAGGCGCAGGAGCTGGGCTGCGCGGGCCGCGAGGATCCCGGCTTGTGGCCGCGACTGTGTCGCCTGGCTGGCGCTCCGTCACCTGCCACCTACACCAAGGTTCTGGCCAAGCTGCGCGCCCACGGCCCGGCCGCCTTCGTCGACTACTTCGAGCGCAACTGGGCCTCCCGCCGCGACACTTGGGTGCGCTTCCGCGCCTTTGAAGCGACCCGCGACCTGGACATGTGTGCCCTGGTGCGCGGCCACCGCCGATGCCTGCTGTGCTGCCTCAGCCCCTCACGCAGCATGGCGCAGTGCCTTCGCGACTTGGTGACCATGCAGTGGGCTGATGCGTCCAGAGAGGTGGTGCCCGATGGCCCCGGCGGTGGGGAGCCTTGGTTGGAGTGCAAGCAGGGGAGGAGAGCCCAGGTGGAGAATGAGAGGATGAAGGGCCTGGAGAACGGGGATTGGGGAGGGACCCCGAATGAAGGAAGTATTTGGAGAGGCGTCCAGCTGGAGAAGAAGTGGGCCAGACAACTGGAGCCCAGAGACTTGGGAGGTGCTCAGTTAGCAAGTGAGAAGGAGAGAGGGTTGCAAATCCGATATTGGAAAGGGGTCCAGTTTCATAACCAGAAGGTGAGAGGGCTAGAAAGGAGTGCCGGAGAGGGTCCCAGTTGGAGAACCAGGGTCTGAAAAGGTTGAAAGGGTATCCCTGGAGGATGGCTCAGTTGGAGGATCGGAGGATTAGGGTTCTGGAGACCATAGACCAGAAAAGGACCCAGTTTGATTATGAGGAGGCCAGGAGTCTTGAAGGGAGCACCTGCAGGGGGGCCAGGTTGCACGATGAGAGAACCAGTGGACTGAAAACCAGAGACTGGAAGGGGCCTCAGATAGAAGCCAAGAAGGGAGGGCAGCTGGAGGTCAGAAACTGGAGGGGGGTCTATTTGAAGAAGCCCCTCAAGTTGGTCCCTGAGAACAGAGACCAAAGGGGTCTCCAGTGGGGAGATAAGAGGCAGAGAGGGCCAGGAATTAGAGAAGAGAGAGGAGTAGTGAGGTTGCGGGTCAAAAGAAAAAGGGACCTGGAAGACATAGTTCTGGTCCAGCTAAGGGACACATACATGGGTGACAGGCCTGGAGGATGGGGATGGAGATGGAGCCCAGCCTGTGGGCCCCAAGAGTAGGGGAGGGCAAGGAAGGGAGTGTGTGCACACAGGAGGGAGGTACCTAGGACTGGGGAATGGAGTTATGTGTGGCACCCCCATGGGAACTGTGTTTAAGGACGATCCAGAATGTCCAGTGACAAGGAGAGTGTACCTGGCTACAGGGGACAGCCTGCAGGAAGGAAGTGAAGGAGAATCCCCGAGGGAACCTAGGAGGCTTTGCTGCCCCTTGGGAGAGGAGATGGACTGGGAGCCCCTGGCCAAATTCTGAGCAGCCTGCGGGCCAGAGCTGGCAGATCTTGTGGCCGAGGAGCTGGCCTTTGCCAGGCAGCATGGGACCCAGGGTTTCCACATGACGGGAGCTGGCTTTGCCCTTAAGGATGACACTTCAGATTTCTTCCTGGGCGGGGCCCTGACACGCTGCAGCTGCTCCATCCACTCCGCCCAGCATCTGCCCTGCCGCCACCTCTTCACGGCGTGCCTCCTCACTGGGGCAGCCTTATTCCATATGGACCTGCTCAGGGACTGCTGGGGGAGAGCCCCAGAGTCCTGAGCCTCAGGCCCCTGCCCACCACCCTGCACTGTGAGGGTGGGAGGGCATTCTTTGATCCCAAAGATAACAGAACTCAAGCCAAGGAGGCCACCCCAGTTTCTCTGGCTATCTCCTGGGTCACCAGTGTCCTAACATTCCACTTCTCCCAAAGGATCTCAATTACCTGTTAATATACTGCTTTCTCCAATAATCTGTGTTCACCATCTTTATTAATAGTCAATCTTCCCCAAGGGATCTCATCTTGGCAGTTTGCCTCTCTGGGTCCTAGGGGAAGTTGACAGTGGTCGCCGAGGCCTGAAACCACAGGTGTGGAAGATGGTAGTGACCAGGGTGAATTCTGAGGGTTTCTTCAGAATATAAGCAAGAGGTATAGACAGGGTCAGGCTGGGGCAGAAGGAAGAAAGGGACAAACTGGGGAGGGGAGTACACTAGGCACTAGGGAGGGCCTGGCCAAGAGGAGACTGGTAAAGTCCAGGGAGTTTAGGGAGTGAAGGAAAAAAGCAAGGAAGAAGGTAAGGATAAATGAAGGAGAGGTAAGGGTGGGAAAGACAAAGAAGAGATAGAAATGGAGAAAAGGCAAAAATGAAGAAGAAATGGGGAGAAGCAGAGGGAGGCAGGAGAGGAGAGGGGGATGGGGGAAAGGAAGAAGGAGACACAGCAAAGGAAAGGTGTGGGAGATGGAGAGACAAGAAAAGAGAGGAGTGATTTGGGTATTTCCAAGCCTGGAGACTTGGATCCCCTTTGCCTTTTGATTGGTCATTTCAGGAAGAGACAGAAGAGGAGGAAGGCACAGGGAGTCTTTAGGAATGGGCTGGGGGCTTTCCCGCAGGGTTGGGGAGCCATCTGAACTATTACGCTTCAAGATTGGAATAAAACAATATTATTTTGGTTTCCATACTGAGTTCTTGGCTTCTGGAGGAGGGTCAGAGGCCCAGACCCTGAGGGAAACTGAGAATGTCCAGCATTCTTTCAACAAGGCCTATGGGGGCCAGATGGAATGAAGGGGCCAAAATGAATCTGTCTCCATGGTAGCACACCTTCATGCGTGACCCTTGAACCTCGAAATGCCTCACATGCCCACCTCAATTCCTTCAGGCCTCTGCTCAAATGCCACCTCCTCCTAAATGCCACTCCTGAACAGTCTGTCTAAAGAGTCCCCCCACTCCCCTTCTCAGCATTATTCTTTACAACACTTACCACTACCTGAAATTATACCACATTGCTCTTTACCAGTTTAGCACACTGGCTAAGTTTATAGAGTATGAAACCAGACTATCTTGTTTCAAATCCCAGTTCCGATACTTACTTGATATGTTACATTTGGTTGCTTATTCTCTTTGTTTCAGTTTGGAGATGACAATAGTACCTATCAGGATAGGTGAATGAGCCTGTACCAGTGTCCTAACATTCCACTTCCCCCTCAAAGGATCTCAATTACCTGTTAACATACTGCTTTCTCCAATAATCTGTGTTCACCATCTTTATTAATAGTCAATCTTCCCCCACCAAAATATAAGCTCTCTTTTATGTCCCATCGTCTTTCCAGTACCTAGAACAGTGCCTGTGGCAAAGTAAGCACTGAGAAAGATGAAAAAATAAAAATGGCAGACTGGCTAAAAGCTGATGCTTCGTTATGCTTTATTGTTGCTATGGTGACAGTCTAGCCGGCCGGAAGATTCCCAGCTTCAGTAACCTTGTGCTAACCCCACCCGGCTCACCCATTGGCTACCTGTTTCTACGCTATAGCTGCCAGAAAACTACAACTCCCAGCTGGCTGAGCGCCTGCCTGCTAAATAGGGCGCCTGTGCAGTAGAATCTGCTGTCCTGGCGCTCCATCTGAGCGCTTAGTGGGGACACTAAGAATGGGGGCAGAGGAATGGTGAGGACCCTTTGCTCTCTCAGCATTGTAGAACCCCCTCGTCTCAACCAGTCAGAGGGGTCGGGGTTCCTGCACCTCCATTTTGGCTTGAGGGGAGCAAAGGGAACTGCTCCTGTTTCCATGGTGACCGGACCGGCTCCCAGCACCAAGAGGATTATTGCAGGAGAGATGGAGGGGAAACCAAAGGGGGGCGTTGCCATGGTAACCCTGGAGCCGTAGGGGGAGGGGTGAGAGCAAAGAGTTTAAGGATATCATGGGAGGAATGAGAGTAACAGCCAGGAAAATGGGGTGCTCATGGAGGAATGGAGAGTGTGATGGAGGAATTGGTTTGAGTAAGGAGATTTGGGGTGTTTTGAAGAAGTGGGAGTGTTTGGTGAATTCGAATGTAATAAGGGGATTTGGGGAGGTCACTGGAGAAATCGGTATGCTAATAGGTAATAGGGATGCTTTGTGGGAAGTGGAAACGCTGTAGGGAAAATTAAGATGTTAATTCATTCATCATTCAAAAATTATCTGTAGAGCTCCTATTTAATGTGCCAGGCACTACTAGATTTTAGAAATACTGTGATGAGCAGGACAGACATGACTATAGAGGGGTTTGGGGGTTCACTGTAGAAGGGTTAGGATGTTCTTAGAAAACACCCACTCCCCCAATGAAAGAAACACCCTCTTCCCTAATGAGAGAAATGGGCAGTTAAGAAGAACTAGAGCTATAATGACAAGTTTTACAAGGGAATAGGGTATTATGTAAATTAATTCTGGCACTATTTTAGAAGACCAAGTACCATCTGGCAGGCCCTGGGGATTCCTTAGTGACCAAAGTCAGCATTATGAATTGGGTTGCCGGATTTAGCGAGAAAGCCACCAGTTAAGTTCTAATTTCACAACACATAGCATTTTAGTTATTTGTTGTTTATCTGAAATTCAAGTTCAATTAGGCATCCTGTATTTTTACCTGGTAACCCTAATTTTGAGGAATTGGGGAGTTTGGGAAGGATGGGTTATTATAGGGGTCTAGGACATTATAAAGTAATTGAGTTATAGGAAGAGTAGCTGGAGATAGTCAGGAAAAGTAGAGGAGTGTTGAAGCCAACACTAAGATCATCAATTACTGTGTGCCTGTGGCTGTGTTAAGTGCTTTTATTTTGAAAAGCTTTTTATTCTGGAAATTTTCAACCCTATACAAATAATATAATGAACTACTTCACCATCTCTGCTTTATATGCATGCCGCATTGAAGCATCACCACAACCCTATGAGGTAACATTACTGTTATCCCCCCACTTTACAGATGATGACACTGAGGCACAGAGACGTTAAATAACTTGACCAAAATCACACACCAGAAGTAGCAGAACCAGGAGTTGGACCCAGGCAGCCTGGTACTGGACTTCACCATGTATCCTGTGTGTGTTCCCTTTGGGAAGTTCAGATTAGCAAGTAGAACATGATGGGAGTGATAAGAGGGTAGTAGGTTGTAAAAGGAAAAAGAATCGAGCCATTTGAGCATTGTGCAGTTTTTATAGGATTCTTATACAGGTGAGTGGAGGTGTGTAGGGAGCTCTGGGATGTTTGGGGAGAGTAGGGGAGTTATAGGAAGAGTTTGGTGTTTTGAGGTGTAATGGGAAGTTGTCTAGCTATATTGTCTAGTACAGTAGCAGCTAGCCACATGTGGCTAAATTAAATTAATTAAAGTTAAATACAGTTAAAAATTCAGTTCCTTGGCAGGTCAAGGTGGTGGAGTGGGTAAACGCTGTGCTTGCTTCCTTCCATGACTACATCAGAATTACAACTAAATTATAGGACAATTAACCCCTGGGGAACCATCTGAAGACTAACTGAATGGAACTCCTATAAACTAAGACTATGAAGAAGAAGCCACATCAAGACTGGTGCAGTATTTTTTTTAAAATTCAGTTCCTTGGTCGCACTCACCACATTTCAAGTATTCAGTGGCCCCACTGTGTTGGATGGTAAAGATCTAGAGCATTTCCATTATCACAGAAAGTTCTATCCACCAGTGCTAGTGTATAAGGAATTGGGCTGTTACAGCTGTGGAGTTTCCTGGTTCCTAACTGTCTGGCAATATCTCATCTCTTGCCCTCCTGCCTCACCTGCACTGGACTCCACCCTGTGCCCCAAACAGGACCAGCTTGATCTAATTTTCACCCCTGCCATTCCCTCTGCCTGGAATGCCCATCCGGCTCTTTGCACTTCAGGCTTAAATGTCTCCTCTAGGAAGAGGATTCCCTCAACAGCCCTATTCAAAGTAGTAGTCATCCCCTTTGCACCACCAGAAACTATCCCATCCCCCTGTTTTCTTTCTTTCAGAAAACATCAGTATCTAAAATTATCTTGTTCACTGATCATATATACCTTTTAATTGTCCATCTTCTCCACTAGGGGGCGGTCTTGTCCTGTTCACTGATGAGGCAGAAAAAGTTAACTCGTAAAAGGCTGAACCCTCAGCGTTTTTCTCTATATCTCTGAGACTCTTTCTGATTAGTTTGTTCATTTATTCTAGTCTTTAGATTCCACATGAAAGGGGGATGGGGATGAAGGAGAAGTTGAGGGGATAAGAAAGCGCGATCGGTAACCACAAGATTGCCACGGGGATACGAAAGACCGTTTGGGGAATACATTCAATAATGTTGTAAATATTTTGTAGGGTATCAGATGGTCACTTGTCTTATTAGGGAGACCATGTCATGGATGGTGTAAGTGCCTGACCACTGCAGTGTACACCTGAAACTGAAGCTGAATAATATTGTATGTCAACTATTATATATATATATATATATATATATAGTCACAGGATGTGGAGTACAGTATAAGGAATAGAGTCAGTGGAATTGTAACAGCTATACAGCTTATATACGATGTCAGAGGGATAGTAGATTGGGGGAGGGGGGTTATCACTATGTGAGGGGTATAAATGTCTAACTAGTACATTGTTTTGTATACCTGAAACTAATTTTATTTTTTTAAGTGAGCCAGAGGACTGCCCAGGCCTGCATCTCCACCCCAGGGACCACCCAGGCTCATCCCCTAGAGATAAATTTTTCTGTTGAAACACCCCTAGAAAAAGGAGGTAAGACCCCCAACCAGAACTAGCTAGTTTTTAGTGCTTGTGCAGACTGCTGGAACCTGCTCGTAGCTTGAACTCCAACCTCATTATAATACAATTAAAATAAAATGAACATTGTGGCTTGGCAGCCCCCCTGCCCCCCCACCCCGTGAGTTTTTCTGTATGCATTCTGGGTAAGAGCATGGTCAGAAAGAAACTAGTTATATAACCAGCATATGTCAATCAAATAACCTCAGTCTATACATCAAATGTCCTGAGTTTGGATATCACATCTCCTATCCTATATGAGAAAAAAATAACCTAAAGTTAGGCACAGTTTTCTGCAGCAACCTTCTCTGGACTCTGCCCCCCACAACTCCTCTGCTGGTGCTCCTCTTAAACAAACTTTCGAACTTCTATTCCTTGTGAGTCTTGTAAATTCTTTCACATTCTGCGAACACCCAGGGGTATCCAAAGACAAGACATTCGCCATGGAAAATCCCAGTGCCCAGAATTGTGCCTGGCACAGAGAAGACTCCATAAATGATGTTCGTTAAATGAATGGAGGCTATTCAGAATAAAAGAGCAGTGATACTACAGGGGAGGTGGGGGTTTTAGAGAAACAGCGTCATAGGGGACCTGTGGGGGACATAGGAGAGGACTGCCCAGCACTAAATGGTGTTAGGGGAGTAACAGGGGAGTGGCGCAGTCTGAGGAGACACCTGTCAAACCTGAAAGGCACCAGTGGTCCTGTCAGTCCTTAGTTGAACAGGGACTCCTTCGTGCCTTGACCCCCTCCTCTGGTAATGGTCTTGCTCGATGCCGGTTCTCTTCGGCCACTCCAGGACATACCAAGTTTCCAGCAGAGTGATGGGGGGAGGGGCCTGGGTGCGGAAGGGATAGTTCTGCGGACGGGAGCATTGTCGCGGACGTCGGGGAGAAATGTGAGGGGGAAGGGTTAAGGGGGTCTAAACAGTTGGAAGAGGAACAGAGAGGCCTTCAGGAGACCTTCTTTGAAGGGTAGGGCAGGGCCTGAAAGACTTTTCAGAAAAAGAAGGTGGGACCTCTGGCTGGGCAAGTTCATTAGGTGGAAAGGTGGGAGGTTGGGGTAGGCGAATTCATTGTGTGTCCAAGTGAAGGGGATGAAACTGGTTGGAAAGACCATTGTTTGCATGGGGAGATTCGGGTAGTGCTTGTGGGTGACCTCTGCGTGTATGAATGGGGAAGGCCTGGGTGAGTGTGTGCCCGGGTAACAGGTTTGAATTGTGCCTTGAAATGGGAGCTGGATTCTGACAGAGGCTCTGAGAGGGCATATCAGATGTGGGTGAACAACAGGTGCAAACGCCTCATGGTGGAAGAGTTCATTAAGGACCTACTTCCAGAAGGAGGGTCTGACCGTTGGAATGCAAGATCCACAGGCAGATGCATCGAGAGTGATGCTGGAGATTATGCTGGGGACCTGTCAGAGGGGCCTGGACTGCCAGGCGGAGGGGCCCGACACTGTCCCAGGGTGCTGGGGAGCCATGGAAGGCTGAGAGCCGGAGAAGGGCAAGATCAGCGCTGGGTGTGGAAAGACCTGTCTAGGGCCATGTGGGGGATGGACTGGAGTAGGAAGAATGGAGGCAGGGAGGCCAGAGAGGAGGCTGGGGCCATGATCTAGGGGGAGAGGAGGAAACCTGAGCTGGGGCAGGGGCCATGGGGCCAGAGGGGACGATACAAGGCAGAATGAAAACACAGGAAGGATGGGACTTGGGGATGGACAGGTGGGGTTGGGGTAGTGAGGAGGAAGGAGGGATGAGAATACCCCCCAGGGATTAATCTGGGGACTCAGTGGACAATGAAGCTGTCCAAAGATGGGGACCCTGGGAGGAAGACTCCGAGGTCAGCACAGATGTCATGAGTGTAAGGGGCTGGCAGGTCATCCAGTGAGTCAGAACCTCGCTCCTGAGTGAGGTGCATCGTGATGGATGAGGGCTGGGTGCCAAGCAGTAGGGACCAAGGAGGGCTTAGTGACCCCATAACTGGAACTGGAGGTAACCATGTGCAGTTGAGGCCCAATTTAGGGCAGCGCCGTCTGATAGAACTTTATACACAGATAGAAATGCTCTCTATCCCCCATGTCCAATATCTTAACAACCAGGCACATGTGGCCCTTTGAGTGTTTGAAATATATTGGATCATCAGGAAAGTCATGATGCATTCTTGCATTGAAAAACAGAGAAAAATACGTCATGACTTTCACAACGATCCAATAGCTAGTACCACTGAGGAAGTGATTTTGGCGGGGGGGTGACAAGGGATAACTTTTTTTTTTTTTAAGATTTTTATTCGGGAATTGGGGGGATGGGAACAGTGCTGAGGAATTGGGGGAAGGGGAACAGACAAGTTGCTGTCCTTTTGTTCTTCAGTCTAGTTGTGGAGGACGTTGCTTCACTGGCCCAAGTTGGCACCATCATTGCGCTCTTTCCGGGAGACGCAGGTCAGTCGCCAGCTTCTGGACGGCCGCTCACTGCGGCTGCTGGCCGCTCACGCTGGCTGCTGGTCGGACACGCTGGCTGCTGGCTACACACGGTAGTCCATGGCAACCCACTGCCACAGGGGCTGCAGCCTACACCATCGCCAGTGTCTCATGGCAGCCCAGCTCCAGGTTGAGCTGTTGTTCAGCATCTTAGCTGTAGAGGGCAGTGTCACTGGCCCTCATATGTGGGATCCAAACCGGGGCCCTCTGGCGTCCCAAGCCAGTTCTTAACCATCACGCCACTTGGCCGGCCCAGGGATAACTTTTTATTTTGGAGTCATTTAAGACTCACGAGAAGTGGCGGAAAAAAAAAAAAAAAAAAAATCACAGAGCCTACCCCTGTACCCTTTTCCCAATGATAGTACCTTCGATAACCATAGGACATTGTCAAAACCCAGGAAATTGTTGGTACAATTCAGTTAACTCAGGTACAGACCTTATTCAGATTTCACCACAACGTAAATGAATTTTTAAACTTGTTTAATTTGAATTAACTTCTATTGAAATGTCAATGGTTAGCTGCTGCCATCTTGGACAGTGCAGGTCTAAGGCATGAAGACACTGGTGGTGAGGAGTCCCCAGCAGTGGTTTGTGACTTTTAAAGAGTTGCCACTCATGCCCATATGAGCCACGAAATACTCTTGAGAAGTACTTTGAAGAAGGCCTTTAACGAAACCATTGATAATGACGTCGTCCTTGGCAAGGATTTCCCGCTGGCGGTGTGTGGCATAAATAACATTTAAGTAGCCACAAATGCAGGTGACAGCGGTAAGAGCCTTACTCAAATGTTAGTACTGCTGGATCCTCCTCCAAAACCTACACATAGACCTCTGGTGCTGAGGCTTCCTGGTGATCTTCATTGCATTTTAAGAAGTTCACAGATGGGTGGATAACTCTTCAATGAGGACACTCTGGGTTATGTCCTTGTAGACATAGGACAGTGACACCATTGGTGCTGAGATCTTCCTAGGTGGTGGTGTGTGGATGGCATTTTAGGAACAGTTATTTTGCGACAGATTTTGGCATGACCTGAACGACTCCCATCTCCTTTAGCCATTTCTTGGGCATCATCTTTCTGATCAATGTGTAATGGTTTGAGGCCTCTCTAGACCATCTACAATGAGCATCTGCTCCATGAACCCTGACTTTGGATGGAGACACGCCTAGACCTTGCTTTATGGGTGGTTGGGAGTGTGATGAGATGGTGGCCAAGGTGGTCTCCAGAATATCTGAGTTGTCCCATCTCAGCCCTGAGATCAGTTCTGGGGACAGCATATTTTAAGCCAGTAATATCCCAGGTACCATGTTGCTGGTGTTGAGGCCATCCATAGGTGGTTTGTGAGATTTTTCAGAACATAATATTGCCTCCCACCTGCCCACAGCCCACTCAGCTCTCCGCGAATCTGCTCCCCGAGGGGGTTGCCCTTATAGATATGGCTCAGTATGAGGAAGTGTGTTAAGGTCAATGTTGTGATCTTCTTGGTGATTTGAGCCATTTCCAGAACACCTTCAACTCTCCTTCTCCCACCTCTTAGTCTGGCCTCAGCTAACATTTATCAAATACTTGACAACCTACAAAATGCTTTCACTTAAGATTGTCCTCCCTCCTGCCCTGCCTACCTGTAAGGTAAAAATTATCCTTGTAGCCAGTTTGAGAGAATGTCTTAACTCAATAGTGTTTAAACATGAACAGGTTTTGTATCTTATATAACTCTTATCAACTGTGTTTTACCTGTTGAGCCACAGCTAAACTTTACAAAATCTCAATCCAGCTCTATAACTTTTCTATCTCTTGTGGCTTATCTCATTCTCTTAAGGACTCAACCCCATTTGCTTTATTAATCATCATATTTAAGTTTATGAGACCGAGATTGAGTTTGAGTTTATTTATTCATCGCTATCAATCTACATCCAAAATTGCTATTAAAAATACAATAAAATCACATCCCACTTAGAAATACCAAGCCTGAAAAACACTTTTTTGGAGCTTAACACATTACATAAATAGATAGCAAGTTTTTTTTCATGTCAGAATTTCCTTAAATTTGTACCTTCCTCCCTCCCCAGTTCTACCTAGCCATGAGGAATGTAAATTTTAAATTTAATACATTATTATCAAAGAAAATGGTGGAGAGTCTATGGACAGCTTTAAAAGTGGCATTTGCAGTGTGGTCCTACAGTCCCGTTCTCATTCCAAAGTGCAACTATTGCCATCATTCAACACTGTCTGGCTGTTACAAGAATCACCACGCAGGATTGAAAAGTACCCCTGAGGCCATTATCAGGCCCCAAGTCCTTTCATTCACTACAGTCCAGTGGTGTCTGGAGTGCTTATGACAGCTTTAGCTTATGACAAACAGCTGACTTGGTTTATAGCACATTAACAAAGGTTTCATATTATCAGAAGTCCAAAACTCCACCATAAAGTTCAGGAGTCATAAATTGCATGAATGTGACTTCCGATCAAGATGGCGGAGTATAAATTGCCATCACTTTTTTGGAGGACATTTAAACAATTTCAGGTTTTTCTGGCAAGACGATTTCACTTGAATGAATTTAATCTGAAGAAATTATGTACAACCCTGTAATTCTACTGCTACAAATTTACGCTGGGGAAAACACCTAAAAAAATTGAG